GTATAATTAGATTAGTTGGCATAATTGGAAAAAAATATAGCCCTTCTTGCATATTTAAAAGGTTGACTAATTCTTCCAGCTCTACCAGTTGATCTTGTAGCAGTGGTTCTTTGGTTATCTCAGCACAAAATGTCTGTTTTGTAGACCTCATGTTTCCAGAATGTCTGTAATAGCAAAGGAGAGTTGCATAACAGATGAGGCCTTATCATTTTATGACAAGACTTCATCAAGTGTATACTAAATATTTTGAAGAGGGTCCTTTTTGCCGGTTTTGCTCTCAGGCCTTCATAGCTCCTTCACAAAACCATCTTTGTTTCCTATCAAACCGTAGGAAGATCTTGTCTGACAGGCATGTAAAACTTTTCCTTTTACTACAACAAATATTTCTGTCTGATCTCTCAGTGTAAACACCACAAAACCTGCCAAAGCACCCTGCATTCTTTGCTTAATTCTAAACAAAAACATTTTCATTATTTTGTTAATGCATATAAGATTTATATAAGATTAAATTTCGGTTCCTGGTTTTTTTCCCCCCCTTTCCTGCAATTATATAAAGGTTATTTGGAAATGAATATTTTTGATCCCCACTCTCCCACCACAATAGCTTTTCCCACATAGTCGAGCTAAAAATATGAAAATTATATATGATAATTAAAAAAAGGAAAAAATCCAAAAGGAAAAAATGCCAACATTTTCCCTTAAAATAAATGAAAAATTCAGAGCCAGTAGGAAAAATATTCACAAAATTCCAGCCTGCAAAGAGAACATAAATAAAAGCTCTTCAAAGCTTTTTTCATTTTCACTAGCACCAGCAAAAATGACTGCTTGGGATGCCAGGCATTGGAGAGAAACGATGTTAGTGCTATTTATAGCTCATGGGTGGCTCCCATTACCACTGTACCTGAGAATCTCCAAGTCCTTAATGTATTCCTGCTCACAGCAACTTTCCCAAGCAGAGGACAGCCTTCCCAGGGCTGTGCTGGAAGCACTGAGGTTTGCTTAGGGAAAATGGACTGTTACATTTACAGCGTGTTCCCAAACTGTCTGTTATAATCGCCTGCAGCAGGCACAACCTCCAGCAAGGCTGCCTTACACCCTGCCACCTGTGCTCAACTCTCCCTCCTGGGAGCCATGAGGCTGCTGCTTTGCTGGAGGCTCTTTCCCCCCCTCCATCAACCAACGAACCAACTTTGGCTTCGATCTATAGTCCACACCAAGCCTCAGTATGAAACAGCATCAGAAAAACAACAGCATAACACCTGGCAAGATAAAGGTGAAAAGACCCTCCAAAAACTTGCTGGCATGTAACAATCCTTGCTCCTGCCCTGCCTGAACAACTGCAAGACTCACATAACATCAGCACGGTGTCTGGGGAGTGGGGCAGCCCTGCCCTGCCTGCTTCCCACAGAGATGTCACAGCAGGGCCTGGCAGAGAAACTTCTTCCCACCAGCCAGCAAATGGCAGGACAAGCTCTCCCAGTGACCCTGGGACTGGGACCCATAGAGCAGCAGCATGTTCCCACTGCCCTTGGCCTCTCATCTACCACAGCCCAGAGAGGTGGCTGCACACCCTGCTTTACCCACCCCCTGACAAGGCAGCTCCCTGCTTCGCTCTGATTTACCTCGCACCCCAATATTAGGGAAGCACAACAGGCAAACCACTCACAGTTTCATTTCTTCAAATTCAAGATAAGAAATTAGGAGCAAGTATTCATCAGGCACATAATCAAAAGCTGGCAAGAGAAAGTAAATCCCAGTTCTAGATCTTAATATCTCCTTTTAGTTGCTCTTTTGCACCTCATCAGTGGTCAATTCCTTTGTGACATACAATCACACTTCTTAAAAGATGACTTAATCAAAAAATAAACAATCATTTTAAAATCAGCAATCAAAAAAAAATCTCAAAAACCCATTCCACTCTGCCCCAACAAAACAGAGAATGTCCCTGGAAAGCTTTATGATGTGCCCAAAAAATTCAAGTGCCAAAATAGATCTTCCACTGGAGAGTTCTGAAGTCTTTTTTGCTCTTGATTCCACAGCAAAAATTTTGTACAGCTTTGTCAACCTTAGAAAAAGGTGCCTTTTTTGTATGTACCCTTTCAAGCAAGGCAAAGCAAGGAGAGCACTTCACTGCTTTTGTTTAAAGTGCAGAGAGACAGACAGCTCAAAGCTACCCCTGCCAAACGACCCAGGAATATCAAAACCCCTTTCTCATGCCTTCAAATATTCTGAAATCTTGCAAGCTTGACAGCATTGTCAATTTTGTATTGACAGGAGCAGTCAGATAAAAATCATTTGAGGAGTAAATCAAGGAGAAGGAAAAAACTTCTTTAATCCACAGTCACACAAATCCATACTGCCTGCAGAAGTGCAAGTGCTCTGGAGCCCCTTCTAATAGCAGTATATTAACATCCTTGTTTGTCTTTCCTGAAGCTTGCAAGACATTATTTTCCCCCCCCTCTCTGAGTGTGGTCTCTTTGACACCATTTGTATCAGAACTGCCCATAACTTACATCTATCGACAGCCTGTGACACCACTGAAATCTTGGCACAGCACTGGCTGTGACAGCACTCACTGAACTGTTATCAATATCAAGGTCACTTTGTTTTTCTTGCTCTCACTGCAGCTGCAGCTTCTCTGCCCTCAAGGCACGAGCTGCCCAAGAAAGCTTTCTGTCTAAGCTCCTCACAAGCCACAGCCTCTCTGCTCCATTACTGCCGTTATATAAGATTAGAGTGAAGTTTCTACTATTAGAAGCAGTTAGCTGCATGGTGACTGTGTGCTCCCCTGATTACAGCATACAGCACAGTTATGGCTGCTGGCAACAGGACTTAAAACTACAGTGTTTTAATTCAGGGAGAAGCATGACTGTAGTTGAGACGTGTCAAGAAAATCAGTAGTTTTGGAGGGCTTTAATTCCTAGCTGTGGTACCCTGGACAGGAGTGCTCCAGAGGAGAAATAAAGGGGAAAGCATCACCCTAGGCTTGACAAATATCCACAGACAGTCGGAAATTGTGGTAGGAGCCTGTGGAGGGCAGCGCTGTCTTGCTGGGGATGGTGCATTGAATAGCTCAGAGATGCCAGCTGCTAAGGTAATAATTCTTTTTTTTATCTCCTTTGAATCTGAAAGCTGCAGATGTAAAAGCTGTCGTCATGCCACAGCCATGACCTGTCACTGCAAGCAGGACTCCCCATTTTTCCAACCAGTGCCTCCATTTTTAAAGGATCCTTTCCTACAGCCCCATGCGTGGGCAAGTGCCCCTTCCTAGGCTGTGTGGCTCTCAAATGGGAGGGTTGGGGGAGGAGGTGCAGGGGGCTGGAGGCAGCATGGAGGTTCTCCCCCCTTGGAATGGCAGTCTTGGGAAAATATGTGCAGATCCACTATATTACAAAGGAAAGGAAATGTTCTCCAGGAGCACTTCTATGAGAAAGCAGTAACACCCTCTCCCCAAAATCCAGCAGGGCACAGGTGAAGTTCCCCTCACTGAGCCTGAGCTCAGCAAGCTCTTTCCCTCCCGGGTGCTTGCCTCGTCTAAGGACAATAGTGGCCGTGTGACCTGGGATGGGGCTGCTGGATGGGGCTGTGTGAGAGTGAGAGCTGAGACGCTCAGGCTTCATGTCTACCTATGTGACCTCACAACTCTGCCTGTGCCTGGCCATGCACCCCCTTGTCTTCCCACTTCACCTGGGACCTTCCTCCCCACCAGGAACATTCCTGGCTATCCCAACCCTGCCTGAGGCTGATTACCCTCACCTGCCCTGCCCTCTGACTGCTCCCACCACTGAGATGGCCTTTTATGTTGCTGCCATCCCCAGGTGGATGCAGGTCCTGTGCGGCAGGAACAGCCTGCTGCTGCCCCATAAGAACCCCTCCAGCCCCATGGGCAGCTCTGTGCAAGAACAGGAGGGCTCATAGAGGAAGGAGCCTTTAGCTTTCCAGCCCAGCTCAGGCTCCTTGTGAGCAGAAGTTGATACCTTCTGGCTCCATTTGGAGAAGCTGAGAGGGCCCCATCATAAAAGTACAAGGCTGGATGTGAACGGGGATGTCAGGAGGGAGACCAAGCAGTGAAGAGGTGTGAAGACTTGGATTTTCTCTCACCCTGTAAAACACAGTTGCAAGTGTAGGGCAAGGGGCATCTGCAAGCTGAGCTGGGCTGGGCTGAGCCAAGAGGGCAGCCATGGAGGAGGCTTGCAGGGCTGCTCCTGATCTTTCCCAACACTGCTGTTAAAGAGAGGGCTGTGTTTTCCAGAGCCCTTGATCTGGCATCTTTCCCAGGTAGTAAATTCCCTTAAAAACTGAACCAAACAGAGGTTTAATTGTACATTCTGCTTTTCTCTTCACTCTGAAATAATGGCAGTGGCATTAATTCAGTGCTGCATTGAACATGTACCCACAATGAGGCTGAGGGACTGATTCTGCTTTCCATTATTTGGGGGCACTGCCTCCGGTGAGGCAGATCAGAGTTTAAACAGTGAGCTGGAGCAATGAACTTTCTACTATTCCCTGCTGTTTGACTGTGGGCAAAATAAAAGGCCATAATACATGACGCAGTCAGCCAAGAAAGCAATATTGCTCTGCCATGTGCACGGCCTACACTGAGACAAGTCCAGGATCTCATTTCTAAATTCCCATAGGTGCCTCATTTAAACCATCAGCCATAACCTGCTTCTCATTTTCAATACCACTTGGTATTAGAGCTGCAGTGAACTGCTGGTGAGAGATTCTAATTCCTGCAAACAAGCCCCTGTAGGCTTGCAAGGAAAACAGAGAGTTCCCCTCTCGGTTGCCTGCTAGGTTCCCATCTGGCTGGTTTAACTTTGCTATTGCTTTTAAATGTGCCTGTTTCTGCAAAGAAGCTTTCAGCTCTACCTCAAGAGACTTCTGGGTTCTCTTAGCATCGGATTCTGACCAAAGTGTAGAGACACAGACTGGGTCTTCTTAACAAAAAGGAAGATCATATTTCACATTACAGTATCTGAAAGATTAATTCCACTTACATGATCATTTCCTTCTGAACTACACTTCTTTCCATCTGGATTTTTCCATCAGGAGGACAAAGAGCCGTAGTGTAAAGCGCTACCTGAGAGAAAAGAGCAAGGAGTGTAAAAGATGAGTGCAGAGATGCTTGCTGAGAGAAGAGAGAGGAAAAAACAGAGTAGACAGCAATTTCAAATGCATCAAGAGGCTGTCTTTTTTTTTCCTTTCACGTGAATTATATTCTGACCTCATGCTTTGGAATTTTGAACCATTTAGCTTGTCAGGTTTTTGATTTAGGGAATTTAGAATATTTGGTTGCAGGAGCTTTCTGTATCATGCTATTGTTAGGTAGTGTTCATGCTATTGTAGTAACCACAGGCCCTGCTGTGCCTTAGGCTCTTAATAATCTCATGTAAGGCCTTGTTATTGAAAGACACCTGTCCCCATCCAGGCTATGAACATAACCACAGGCAGAGCTGTGCCAGTTAGGGAGGTGCTAGCAAAAGGGAAAGAGGGATGCTTGTGGTCCAACTAATGCCCTGCCATACTCCTCCTGGGACTCCAGACATTCGTTTCATCTCTCTACAGCTCAGTTCACTCTCGAAGAGACAAGGTAACAACCATGACAAAATGGCAGGAGGCTTTCCCCTGTTACAAAGTGAAAATTAGGGCTAAGCAAATAGGTGGCCACTCAATCTGTGTTCAATTTTAGTTTATTTCTCAACCAGGAACAAGCCGTTTCATCTTGTTTTAATTTTTTAAAAGATTTTATGCAATGCAGCAAAACAAATTCCAAAACAAAGTAACTCTGAATAGAAAAATGAAATTATTTTTTTTTAAATAACGAAATTAACTATTTCAAATCTACAATATTGCTTCTTTCTCCCGAACTTTGCTGAATTTTCTTTCACTGGAATCTGCAAATGCAACACAAATCTGTTAAATGCTTTAGCCAATTCCAGTCAGTGGGGGTTTGTGTGGGGTTTTTTTCCTTCCTTTGCCAGAAAAATCTTCAATAGAAAATGGCAATTGTTTCCACCATAGAGAAGGAAAGAAAAAAAACAAACAAACAAGCAAACAAACAAACAAACAAACAAAACCAAACAAAAAGCTTAGCAGACTGCAGTACTTAAGTGGCTAAACAATACTGGGGAGATACTAACTAGGTTGTTGTGGACAAGTCCTGGCCTGACTGGGTCCCTCAGGAGCTGCACCCAGCTGCATTCAAACAGCCTGGAGTCACCCACAGCCCTTCCTGGGTGCTGCCTGCAGCCAGGCAATGCCACCCCACGACCACCTTCAGCCTGGGCCTCAAGGGCAGCTCTTGGACCACTGGGGAAATCCAGGCTCCCCAGCTCAGACATGGAACCAAGCAGGCCCTGGCCATGTGGGGTGCATCCCAGTGCTCCAGGTGTTTGGGAACCGTTGCGTAATGACAAGAAAGTTTTAAAGCTTGTGCTGCCTTGGATTCTCTGTATTGCCCTTAAAAATCCTATCCAGCCTCAAAAGTCTCCCATAGGTAGAAGGACTTTTTTTTGTTTCTGTTTTTTTTATTTTTTTAACCAGAAAAAAAAAAAGAGAGAAAGAAAGAATCTAATGAGATGGTCTTTATGTGCTTCCAGGCTGCAATTTAAAAGAAAAGTAATCCTATCCTACTTGCATGGTCTAGATCTCTGGAGAAAACGTTAGTGACCTTGTAAGATAGAAAATTTTTTTCCCCAGGTACAGGGACTCCTGCCCTCCTGCAGTCACTGGCTGTTTCCAACTGGAACAGCTTCTGGGAGCCACCCAGAGGGAGAAGCTTAGAGAAATGTAATCAGTGGCAGCACTTTTGCTAGCTCTGCAGTATCTTAAAGTAGGGGGAGGGAGGAAACCCTCAGCAACCCTCAGAAACCCTCCCTGGCCTTCAATTAAAAAATTCATATTGCTTTCCTCATTAGTCCAATCATCTGCTATAGCTATTTCCAAGCTTACCCCGAAGGCCCTGTAGAGCAATTCAATTTCAAGGCCAGTGCAGCGCAGGAGGGAGCATTCTTGGGAGGAGCTATGGTCGTGTTGACACGAGGAGCTCACTTGTTTGGCATTAGTCATGTGAATAAAATGATGTTGATGTGCTTTTTGAAAAGCAGATTGCTATATGAAAGGGAGCTCTGTTGCAAAGCACCTCCCTGGCTGCAAAGGCTGGAGTCACCTCCGAAGTGTCACTGGCACCAAAATAACTCAATTCTTGGAGAATTTCTTCAAAGTCAGGTCTTGGACAAGAGGCCTCACAATCTAATTCTCTCTGCTCATCATCTCCATTACTGTAACTAGGTGACAGGCTACAACAGAAGTTTAAGGCAGCAGGGGCTAGGAGAACTGAAAGTTTGGTATCTATCTGCTTACCTCCACAACTTCAGCCCTTAAGCATCTGCAGTGACTCAGTCAGCCACACTCCTTGAAAATTAGCCTGTGATCTTGTGAATCTCCTGATGTAGAAGCTGTATTATCTTTTTCTTGATTTCTTTTACTGCTTCAGCTTAACGTTCTGTGTCAATGAAAGTACAAACAGGTCATAATGAAGATGCTGGCAGTAGCTCTTGAGCACAGTGCATGACTTTCACAAGGCAGTAAAACTTGTAGGGCAATGCACAATATCTGTTTCTGTGCTATTCTTTATGTTAGTCTGTGCAAGGATTGCACAACATTTTCCTTTACCAAAGCTCTTGGTGTTACATTTTCTGCCCTGAAAAATTCGTAGGCTTTTATCTCTGTATTCCTCTCTACTTCCCTGCAGTTCTTTTCCTCCATCATTAAAAGTAAAACCAGTCACTTTTTTTCCTATCTCTCCCATAATTTTTACTGTGCTTTTCATATTTTACTTATTAAGTAGTTACCCTAGGGAGACTTCTTTTTTACTGGAACATACAAAAAGCTATCACTGTGCTTAACATTGGTGGGGAGGAGGAGGGAGAAAGGGGCAAGGGAAGAAAATTTAGGCTGAGGTCACAGAAATATATGTAATGTGTTCCATAATGTGCTTCACATCATCTCTACTTCTTTATCCAGAAGCAAAAAGATATTCTCCTTTGTTTTCGGCTTATTCCCCAAATCACCCTACGTCATTGAAAATAACATACCTGGATGTTGGACAAAGTTGTTGTTGTTTTAGAAGCAACATCCATCTGGCTGCTGCTGTGGGGGCAGGGGACAGACTAGACGATTTCTGAAGGTCCCATCTGCACTTGTTTTCTAGAACTGCTAAGAAAACAAACCCAAACTCTAGATTTAGGCAAAGCTGACACCACATGAGAATAAACACCATCTACTCTACTTTGGGAAGAGTTCTAGTGTGGCTTTCACGTTGATCTAATACCGACAGGCAGCCAAACAAAGCTCATCAATATTTTCTGGGGGCAAGAAGAGCAATTCAGGATAATGAGATCCTGGCAGAAGAAATGCTCCTAAAGACTCAAGAAAGGACTGCTTGGTTATCTTCACACTCTTGCTCTTGACTGAGCTCTGCTTTCAGCCAAACCGGCTATCCTGAGCTTCCTGGGTCTAAACCAGCAAACAGCATTGCAAAAGGTATGCCCAAATTCCATGGTGTGATCTGTGAGGCATCACAGGCCTGTGATCTCTCAGATCCCTCACAGATCTAGGGAAGGGAGCCCTAGATGGGATTCTCAACAGGACAACAACACCAGAATTTCAGCTCTATAATTTCAAAAAATTCAGGTGCTCTCTTTTCTCACATCCCAGGTAAGTACCTCACCCCTCAGATGAGAGAAATGGCCTCTCTCTGGAGGCAAGTACCTATCACATTATTTATACAAAGTGGAACAGCTCCCAGAGGAGAGACAGAGAGAGACAGGCACAAGAATACCAGTATAGCTAAGTGTTCAGGGGTATTCGACTGAGACAGAGAAAAAACTAGTTCAAATTCTCTCAATTTCTATTTCTGTACATACAGACATATCTATGTTTATATACGCATGTGAAAATCCGTTCATACGTATATATGTTCGTGTATATGTGTGTTTAAATACATCCCTACAAATGAAAGAAAATTGTGTGCACATATATTTCATATGTGTATACACATGCATTATACAAATGTCGCTCACACACACATCCTAAGACTTCCACCTTGGCCCTAAAAGCATTTTAAGTATAAGTTAGCCCAATGATGTATTCTTTGAAAAACTTCCAGTTTTAATTAATTAGAATCAAGTGTGCACAAACACTTGGTAACTCTTCAACAAAAAGAGCTGATGGTTTTCTGTATACCCTCATCAGTAACTGAAATAACACCTGCACCTACAAGGTTCAGCCAGTGCTGCATTCGGGTGGCGCAGGATGTTCTTTTCCAACATCAGTACTTGACAAGAAATTGAATCACATTGTCTTATGCTGCTTTCTCAGGGGAGGATTTACATGCCCATAGAGTCCTACCACAGAGTCACTCCTGCTCTCTGGATGTTTTTAGCAACACCTGCAGGCCCTGCTGCACACACTAGTTATAATAATGTAATGCTATTTGGAGGGTAATGAACAGGACTACTTTCTAGGGAATGTTATACCTGTATGAAAATTTCCTCTTAATTCATTTCAGAAAAGCTGTCTCTGATACAGCCTGAGTGCGTGCAAAAGAGCAGCAAGATGCCTCACACCAAAGACTCTTCATCTCTGACTAGCAATGATTCCTATGAAACACCAGCACTCTCAGACCTCCAGCGGCTTCTGTGGTTCAGAGGAGGGTCTGATAATCATGTGGACCAAGTCTGGCCAAATATCTACCTGGGAGATGCGTAAGAACATATGGTCCTATTGTTAAGCTGTTATCAGTCCCTGGGAGGAGGAGGAGTGGGTGTGGTACACTGAGGAGCTGCTTTTGGGTCTACAGGAATGTTTTTACAATACAGGCCTCCAAAGCTGATGACATAAGGAGTCTGGATGTCAAGAAAAACATGGCATGCAAAATGGTGGCTTACTGTGTCTGACTTGTGTTTTTTGTATTCTGTGAGCCACCGTGGATTTGGCAGGGTAAGAATTATTTGTATTCTAGACAAAAGTCCTCAAAGAACTTATACCAAATTGGTGTCAATTCTGAGATGCACTATTTGTCCTGAAAACTGTGCTCTAAGGCAGCAGACAAGAGCATAGTAGCCCTCACACTCAAATAGGGGTGGCAGGATCAAGAGCCAGAAAGAAGAGGACCTAAATGAATTATACAATAGGGATTTTGACATTTGAAATCAGAAGTTTCTTTCAAAGATGGCAAAACTGAAAATATCAATTGGGTATTTTTGTGCAAACACCTTATTCTTGTGACCAGTAATATTTATTGCTATTTCCTTCCAATTGGATTACAGCAGATTACATAGGTCATCGGCTTGTTTTTCCCAGCTCCATCTCCTCCTGAATATATCAGTTAAGGTTCAGAGTTTTGTAGAATGCATTTAGTCCCCCTTTATTGTGGGAAGGGGGGAAAACCTAGCTGGTGAATACAATGCATCCGCTTCATGTCCAAATCAGGAACATGGTGTTGCTTCATTTGTATGAGTTCTTACCCTTGAGACCCAGGCAACCTATCAATGAGAGATTAGCTCTAAAACTTGCTAAACAAATATTTAAAGGAAAATCTTGACCACTTTATAGAGTAAGCCATGTTCCCAGGGATTAACCGCTAGGAGGCATTTGCTTAACTGACAGTATCCCACTGGCAAGTCTGTGCTCCTGCTGCTCTCCACACCCCCATATCACATTTTTCCTGCACAAAGTACTATGTGCTTCTCAAAATTTTCTCCTCTGTAGGCAAGATGCAGTTCCTGCATCCTTTCTTAGTAGGAGCAGGCACTAACTTTAAACCATGCTATTTTAGCAGAATGTTGGGAGCGTTGCCAATGTGCCCTTCATGTCTTTCAACAGGTGGGCTGCCAGGAGCAAAACTACTCTTCAAAGCCTCAACATTACTCATATCCTTAATGCAGCAGATGGACCATATAGCATCAACACAGGAGCCAAATATTATGAAGATCTGCAAATAGAGTACTATGGAGTAGAAGCATTTGATGATCCTTCCTTCGATTTAAGTATCTTCTTCTATGATGCTGCCAATTTCATAGGCCAGGCCTTAAACTCTTCAGGAGGTAAGAGGGAAGCAAAGATAAGCTTTGGGAGGAAGTTTCAACACAAGCCAAATGACTTCCCCTTGCAGTAACAGGCACCAACAGAGCTCAGAATCAGCATAAGGTTCGAGGTGGCATATGCAGAACCACTGAGGAAAGGATGAAGAAGGGTGCCTATGCCATGTGCTGCAGGGAAGGTGGCCATGGCCAGGTTCCCAGGAGCTGGGGAAGACTTGCTGCCTGCAGCCCAGCGTGGCAGTAGGAAGGGCAAGCTCTAATACCAGAGTGTGGAGGTTATGGCACTGCAGATACTCCCCCCTGGGCCCATGCTGTAGGAATTGGCATGATCTGTGGGCTTCCACACACACCTCCCACCCCTTGCACACTGGCATGGGCTCTAGACGGACAATCCTGCTCTGTGTGCTGCTCCTGGTCCCGATGCACTCAGCTGGGAGCAGTGTCACTTCAGTGCTGGCTCGAATGCTTCACATGCTTAAGTACTTCGCAGAATTGGAGCTTTATTCAGCCTGTCTATTAAGCTAGAGAAGCAGCAGAAGTTAATGAACTAAGTCAAAAACTACAAGCCTGACCCACAACCTGCTGAATTTTTGTCAGCAGAGTTTGGATTATGGCCTAGTTATCATAATTTCCATTTGTTCCAGAGTTTGCTCTGACTCTGACTGGCTGTAGGATCTGCTGCTTTCACTGGAGTGCTTTATTAAATCCCCAGTTATAGCTCACACTGGGCTGCTGAGATACAGTAAATTACGACTCCATTTTTACAGGCAGACTATCCCACAGAGTTTATGGAACTTGCCAGTGATCACAGTCAGGGCTGGGCCAAATTTTTCTGCCAAAGCTTATTTTTTTCCACAGAAAACTATACTAACAAGTTTAGTCACAGAAAGCTTCTCCTGCCACAGAAAATTTCAACTATTTTAATCTGAGGCCTAAATTAGATCCAGGAGATCAGTATGAAACACCACCTTGCCTGAGAGGTCTAGTATAATCTTTCTGAAAACATGAGGATTCACTAATTGTCCCCATTGTTTTTCCCAACTTGTTTCTAGTATTTTTTCTCCTCCCTGTGTCTTTTTCACTTTAGAAATGCTAAAGCACACTCACTTTGCTGTACCTCTTTTTTTCTGCAGGTAAGGTGTTTGTTCATTGTGCCATGGGAGTGAGCCGCTCAGCGACTTTAGTGCTTGCCTTTTTAATGATCCACGAAAACATGACACTCGTGGATGCTCTGAAGACGGTGGGTGCTCACAGAGACATCTGCCCAAATTCAGGGTTCCTCAGCCAGCTCCGGGACTTGGACATTAAACTGAATGAAGAGAAGAAAGGAACCAGAGCATCTGCTCCCAAAGAGCTGTAAGAGAGTATTGCTGAAA